AGCATCACTGCGAGAAGTTGCTGCACGTAGCGGGCTATCCGGAAGAACTTGGTTCAGTTCGCTTCTTCTGTTTGACGAGATCTACGACTTCTTGATGGATTTGGGAGTGTTGGATAATAGCATGTCCAAAAAGTCTTCAGGTGGCCCGGACACCTCTGGGCAAACGCCGAACTCGTCATGGGCGAACAGGCTCATGCAGACAGGCACATCGTCGCATGAGACGAAGACGAACGGGTCTTTTGGAGGCATCGACTCGCCTAGCGTTTGCACAGCTGTATCCGGAAACTTCCATCCGGGGGTGTGCGTGGAAATGCTCCGTGGTCTCCGCGGAGACCACGGTTGCATGACCAAGGCGCGTATGTTCTTTACGAGCGGTGCTCCTGTGCAGCCTCACGCAGAGTACGAGTCATGTGGTGTCCGGGCGCAGGTTATGTTCTGTCCAATACCTGATGTTTTGAGGGATCTGCTGAACTTGAAATGTCTCTCATCGCCTGAAGAAGCTCAGAAATTCTTTCTTCCTGCAGGCAATGATCCTTCAGATAGCATTGGTATCGAGTTTTCGGAAGATGGCTACTTCCCCGATACTGATGGATGGAAATATGTGTTGCCGGATGGGGTGGCAACACGCATCCGGTTTCGCAGGCGAAATGACGATGACATTGTTGCAGAATGGAGCATGGCAGTGCGGGATATTGACATTCCGGAGGAGTATAACCTTGAAGCAGCTGCCAACCGCTTAGCAGATGCTTTCGAGCTAGACCACCGCGAGCTTCGATTCACGGACGACGCGAATCTAGCCTTTCAGTCCTACAGCGCCTACTTCAATATTCTGGTGGCACAGGCCCGGCAAGACGAAGATATCGGACAAGCCGCCCAACTGGGCTGCTGTCCATGGAAACTTGGAATGCTCAGTGCAAGCTTGGCGTTGTGGGACATCGCATGGCAACAGTCTGAAGCACCTGTCGCCGACCAGACACAGCCAGTACTGGTGACTGTAAATGTTGTATCGCGTGCTTTTGGCTTGCTTGAGATTTTAGAGAGTATTGTTGCCATTATGTCCGGACATTCTGGCACGACGGCTTTTACATCGGTGGCAGCTGCTGCGGAGGCTACTCGCAAAAGGAAGCAGTCAGATGAAGATCATCTGTCAGCGCAGCTGCAACAGTCAAGTCCAGACCGATCGTGGGACCCACAAGCTCAGCATAGTGGTATCCTTGACACCGAGCTTTTGCGTCGCTTGCTCATGAAGGCTGAAAAGGATTCGGACACCGGTCCTTACATCGTCAAGAGCAGAGCAATCTACAACGTCGCCCGACAAAAAGATAAGCTTGTGAAGCCGCTCGCAGTGAGTGATTTCCGATCCTTGGCCAGAGCAGTGCCAACAACGCTGGGGAACTATGATGAAAGTAAGGACTGCCTCATACTGGCGTTTCCCAATGACAACAACGACGAATTCGACATTGCCCTATTGGATCGTGCAAAAATCTCCAGCTCTGCTCTTCAGGCTTTCTGGCAAAACAACTGCGACAAACGCAAAGGCAAGAAAAGGTAATGGCGAAGGAAGGATCCTCTGGGTACAGCAAGCGGCATGGGGGTATGGCCGGATGCAGTGGTCTGCCTGATTGATGAGTCGCATTGCTTTCCCTTCTTCTGAAGGTAGTCTGTTTGATGCTTGATGTTGGTCATCCTGTGTGGAGAGCCTTGTACAGTGACTCTTTGCTTTCGCGGTTCATATTAGTTAAATCGGATGGCAGGAATGAAAAGCACAAGCGACACATGGCTGAATGCAGAATCTTGCCCGCTTGATGCTTCTTTGCCAGCGTCAGCCCTGCGAGAGTTTGTACAGTTTCTCGTTTTTGGGGCTACTTA